ATCAAAATGCGTTTTTTTTTCCTTTCAAAATAAAATTAGGCGCCATGACACCTCCTCGAGTTGCTACTGATCCCGTAATTTGTGTGACGTCATCAAAATGCGTTTTTTTTCCTTTCAAAATAAAATTAGCGCCATGACACCGTCCTCGAGTTGCTACTGATCCCGTAACTTTTGTGACGTCATCAAAATGCGTTTTTTTTTCCTTTCAAAATAGAATTAGGCGCCATGACACCTCCTCGAGTTGCTACTGATCCCGTAACTTTTGTGACGTCATCAAAATGCGTTTTTTTTCTTTCAAAAATAGAATTGGCGCCATGACACTCCTCGAGTTGCTACTGATCCCGTAACTTTTGTGACGTCATCAAAATGCGTTTTTTTTCCTTTCAAAAAATAAAATTAGGCGCCATGACACTCCTCGAGTTGCTACTGATCCCGTAACTTTTGTGACGTCATCAAAATGCGTTTTTTTCCTTTCAAAAATAAAATTAGCGCCATGACACCTCCTCGAGTTGCTACTGATCTCGCCTTCCCTTCCTCCGTCAGCTGCGTCGTTCGCTTCCGCTTGTGAATCCGCCTTTGTGCCTTTTTTTTTTTTTTTTTTTTTTTATCACTGCGGTTTTTATCCGAACTTATGCTTTTATCTCATCTTTTTTATCTCTCTCTTTTTTTTTTTTTTTTTTTTTTTTTTATTGTCACTGTGGGTTTATCCGAACTTGTGCCTTTTATCTTTATCTTTTTATGTCTTTATCTTTTTATCAGGGCTTAGCCTTTTTTTCGCATTTATGCATATTATACTCATTCATTATATTCATTCATCTTGATCTTTTTTTTATCCGCGTTCATTTTTCACCCTTATTTTTCTCTTTCTGTTCTATGCTTTTATGTTAATTTTTCTTATTTCCTCATTTATATTTGTCTATTCACTTTTTATCTGCATCTTATTTAACATATATATATATATATATATATTATATATATATAATATATATTATATATATATAATTATATAATATAATATATTATATTATATATATATGTATAATTATAATAATATATATTATATTATATTATTTATATATATATATATATATATATATATATATATATATATATTTATTCTTTTGAATGATAATCTTTATTTATCCGCACACGCCTATTTTCCGTCAGGTAAACATATATATATTTTCGACACTTTATCCAAGATGAAGGCTATCTATCTCTCTCTCTTTATCTATCTACTCTCTCTCTCTCTCTCTCTCTCTCTCTTCTCTTTCTCTTTCTCTCTTTCTCTCTCTCTCTCTCTCTCCTCTCTCCTTTCTCTCTCTCTCTCTCTCTCTCTTCTCTCTTCTCTTCTCTCTTCTCTCTCTCTCTCTTCTCTTCTCTCTCTCTTCTCTCTCTCGTCTCTCTCTCTATCAGCTTTCTGAATTCTAAGAAGGTTCCTCCATCCATTAGCTATCTGTCCATCTATCCATCTCTCTCCCTGCGTCTCACATTCAACATCAACTCCTCCATCCATCTCTCTCTCTCATTATCTATCCATCAATCTATCATCTACCTGTCCATCTCTCCCTGACTATCTATCTTTCTATGGGCATTATATATCCATCATTCTATTATCTACCTGTCCATCTCCTCCCTGATATCTATCTTTCTATTATTATTGTCCATTCATTCTCTTATCTACCTGTCCATCTCTGCCTGACTATCTATCTTTCTATGACATTATCTATCCATTCTTTCTATTATCTACCTGTCCATCTCTGCCTGCCTATCTATCTTTCTATGACATTATCTATCCATCATTCTATTATCTCCCTGTCCATCTCTCCCAGACTATCCATCTTTCTATGACATTATCTATTTATCAATCTATTATCTCCCTGCCCATCGCCTCTCTCCAACTCTCTTTGTTTATCTATTCATCAATCTATCTATCTACCTGTCCATCAATCTCTCTCTCTTTATCTATCCATCAATCTATCTATCTCCCCATCAATCCATCTACCTGTCCATCCATCAATCTCTCTCTCTCCCTACCTGTGACCCCCAGAGCGGCCTGCGTCTGACCCTCAACATCAACGCCTCTCTCCTTATCTATCCATCAATCTATCTATTCCCCATCAATCATCCATCTACCTGTCCACCAATCCATCTACCCATCAATCAATCCATCTACTGCTCCATCATGTACCTGTCCACCAATCCATCTATCTATCCATCAATCAATCCATCTACCTGTCCACCAATCCATCTATCTATCCATCAATCAATCCATCTACCTGTCCACCAATCCATCTACCTGTCAACCAATCCATCTATTTATCCATCAATTCAATCCATTACCTGTCCCAATCCATCTACCTGTCCACCAATCCATCTACCTGTCCAAATCCATCTATCTATCATCAATCAATCCATCTACCTGTCCACCAATCCATCTACCTTCCACCAATCCATCTACCTGTCCATCAATCTCTCTCTCTCCCTACCTGTGACCCCA